AAGCTTACACTTACTTGTTGCATTTTGATTTGTGCATAAGAACTCTGTGTTTTTTTTACATGCCTAAATGTGATATTGTTATAATCAACTTAGCAGACATTTATCAAGTGCTTGCTTATAAACCGGGCATTGTGGGCACTGAGCTACAGAAATAAGGCATATTTCCTTGTCATTCTCCTCACTTTAAAGCAAGTACTTTGAATGTAAGATTTTTTTTTTTTATATTGGTCTCCCTCAGTATCTAGTACATTACCTTATGTTAACACTCAATCAATATTTAATAAATTCACTTTTTCTTTTTGAACTTCATTTTTTTAACAGACTAAATAAAATAAAAACTAATTTAAGTTGATGTAACTGAGTCTTCCAACTTGAATGATACGAAAATCCAGGGAAATAGAAAGATTGGAAATGAAACAGAACAAGGAAAAACACGTGGATCAGAATGTGTAAGATGAGGAACAAATGGCAGATTACAAATGCATGACTTCCATTCATCAGCCCACAATGACCAAGACCATTTCACGAAGGTTGAAGCAAGTGTTTTCTTTAGTCTCATTAAAATACATGATTTAGCCATGAAGATAGTGCTGGTCTACAAGACCTTGACACTGATTAAGTCCAAAATGTTGCCTGTCTAATAAGCTTCCATCTATGAGCCTGTGAGTCCATAGATGACTAATAATGTGTTTCATAAAATAATTATTTGAATTAGAATATGTATTTCCTAAATAAATGAATGAATTCCTGAATAAAAGAGAAGGAAAAAATTTTGAACATATAAAAATGACCTCATCAACATTCTGAAATAAATGTATGATTTAGTTACAAACTCTTGTGGCTTGAAAGAGAAGTTTATGAGTCATAAGGTACAATTTTGTGTTTTAGATTTTCTTTCTTTTTTTTTTTGTGAGGAAGATCTGCCCTGAGCTAACATCCATGCTAATCCTCCTCTTTTTGCTGAGGAAGACTGGTCCTGGGCTAACATCTGTGCCCATCTTCCTCCACTTTATATGGGACGCCGCCACAGCATGGCCTGACAAGTGGTGCGTTGGTGCGTGCCCGGGATCCGAACCTGGGCCACCAGCAGTGGAGCCTGCACACTTAACCACTACACCATGGGCCGGCCCCGTGTTTTAGATATTTTTAGGGTTTCTGTTCTTTGATTCCTTTGGCAGATTAATTTTTGATTAATCAACATTCTTTATGCTTAAAACTTGCATGTTCGAATATTCCTAAATTACTAGTTTGATTTTGTCTCTGCCATATGTATTATATATTTCCTATCATGTCCACAATAGCCAAAATCTGACAATATTAAGGTTATTTCTTTGTTCTTGGACTTCTTAAGTAAGAGTGCCTTCCAACCATTTTTCCCTTCTTACTCTGGTCTATTTTCCATCATACCACTTATCACTACTTGAATTTATGGCATATATTTGCATGTCCATTTGTTTATTGTTTGTCTCTTGTCACCAACAGAGGGAGTTCTAAGAGGAGGGGAACATTCCCAGGCTTTGTTAACAGATATATCAGAAGCAATTATAAGCCTTAATGAAAAGGAACACTTCTTAATGGGAAGTGAATTTAGCTTTTATTTTAATATTTAATATATATTTCTAAGTCGTAAGATTTTTTATTCATTTTATGGCATATTTACCAGCTAATAACAATGCCCACTTAACACATGAAGCCAATTTACCAGACCTATAATATTTATGACATTATTCTTATTTTAATCAAGTGGTCCAGCTTAGAGGAGCTTCATTAGGCTTCCAAGGCTTGATGAGCCTATTTACAAATTCACATTACGCTTTAGCAAGTAATTTTAGGAAATCTATTACCCAGCTGTTGCAAAGTCTAATTAAGATGTCTTAAAATAGAACTATATAGGTTTATTAACCTCAATTTTTGTTTACATTTATATTATCAATGTGTGATTATTTTTAATAACTCTAAATGTGCAATGAACATATATGCTTTCCCACTAAATGGCTAGACAAGCCATAGCAATTGATGCCAATTGGTAGCATCTGACAATTGCAGAAAGCCTTCAATCACTCCCCAACACATTCACCTCTCTATTTTATGAATCCTTCTTTTCTTTTCTTGCTCAGATGCTTTCATTTCTTTCTTAAACTGTCTTAATCTAGAACTTCTCGCAGAATCCAAGAAAGATGCAGTAGGAAAATGTTCACAGGCACATACACAGAACATTTTGCACACAATTTCAAGAAATTCACAGATCTCTTAGAGGGTCCATTCAGAGACCATGTAGGGGTCATGGAGTCCAAGTTAGTTCTTGTCTTATTCTATTAGTTTCTCCATATTGCTTTCACAATTGTCTTTGTTTTAACTGGCACTTAATCCTTCAGGTGACAGCTATGTGTACTCAAGTTGTTGACCCTCTCCATACATTGTTGTATTTGCAGGATCTAAGAAAAAAAGTGCAGGTAAGGTATACCATTAAAAAAAAAAGGTTCCAGCAAAGATGGCAAATGATAGGGAATCTGTGAGGATTACCATCCTAGTTACACCATGATGTTGAACTCAAATGATACATCAGGAATACACATTTATTCTTATGAGAACATTTTACATAATTTTTTCCTTAAAATTATTAAAAATAAATTGCTTTAAATATTTAAAAAGAAAATGTTCCAGGGAAAAATTATGGGTAAGTTTCTATCCATAAGACTCTTAAGGTTTATTATACCATTTACTTAATCCTCTCTAATCTAATGGTGAAAGTCCAGCCTACCACGTATTATTCTGAATGAAAGGGAAAGTTGGCTATGTGCCAAAGATGGAGTGTTGTTGTAACAGCCGTTCAAGTAAGACTTGAGCAATTAACGATAGGAAAGACTGATAAGAAAAGGGGCAAAAAGTTAAGATAGACTATAGACAAATCCTTCAAATAAGCTTTAAAGTTTATCAGATATCTACTCACAGCCTTCTATGTGCCTCCTTCACTCACATAACAGATGCCTACTGACAAGGACAATGCGCCCAGTGGGGGAGAGGAAAATGGAAGAAGTCGTCCTTGAAAATTAAGTCTTCTCTTTCAGGAGTCTAAAATGTCATTTAGTCTGTTCACATTTAAGACTGTTAAGTTATAGTACAAGTTCACTACTCTTTAAGGGCAAAAGCTAATACTCTAGTTACAGACTCTAGAGTCATTAAAAAATTTCTCCCCAATCTGTTCTTATTCATCCAAATCATATCTAATACTGTATGAGTTCCCAGTATAAATTCAGAAATCCTGTTTTGTATTAGAATATGGGAGAGATATAGTTTGTAACCCACAGTTTATTGCTATTCTTTAAATTTAGTTCAGACATGCACACCTTCTTTCTTCTCTAATGGGGCATCTGGGCAGGATTTCACCACTTTCTTCATTTCATAGGTAATATCTCAACTCATAATTTAAAGACAAAGAAAAATGAAAACAACTTTTGAAAATAAATATTTGAGAGAGATCTTCATGGGTTGAGTTTTCTGGGTAAAGGATTTGACTAGGATTGCAGGAGAGATTCCCCTTTATTGGGTATTCGAGAGGGAACAAGAGCTCAAGAGGAAATAATAAGCTAGGAAGAAAACAGAAGCACTAACATTTGCAATAAATAGCCCCGATTATTATTATGACTAAATGAAAGCAAAATGAAAGTCGACATTTCTCTATTTTATATTTAAGAACTAAAGCTCTGCCAATGAATAAAAATAAAGATCCAGTGGGTTTCATAAGTCTGGTATTAAAAATAAAATTACCTTCATCGACAGGTGAAATTGATCTGGCATTTCACAGAAGAAGGTAAATGGAGTTTTAAAAATGGTTTTCTTCTCCTTATACAGGACACTTCAACTATTTAAATAATGTAGAAGTTATTTCTCATGGAAATAGAATCAATTTTCTATATGCCTGAAGCACATTAATGAGTATTCTGAATTTCCTTCTCTCCAGCCAAGTGATAAGTCAAAGTAAAAAACCCCTGAAACCTATTACATTATAGAAAATACAATTTTCTCCTTGAGAAAGAATAGTTATTGGTTGTTGCTAAATATAACATAGAAAATACAAAGTCACGGTGGCTACGCTATGCACAGGAAGAACTCTTCTGTGCTGGTCAGCTAGTAGGACTCAGACAGTTTTAGCTACTGTTGCATTTCAATTCATGAGTATTTAAATCCATTTTCTCAATCTCACGTAAGCCATGCCTCACATAATATTTTTTCACTCCAACTTCCTTATAGAAGTTTTCATTTTTGTTTTTTGAGTTTTCCTCATTGCAACTGGCATTACAAAAAACGCTTATTCTGAATATACTTCTTCTAATGAATATGATTTGGACATTTCAAAATTACTCCACTCCTACCAGCATATGGAAAGTTAAGGCAAATCTCCCACCACCTTTTGAGCATCACAGGTCTAAGTAAAATGAAATATAGACTTTCGAAATCACAAATCATAGCAGTTTCAAAAATTAAACAAAGACAATATAATTATATTCAATCATAATTATCAACTCTAAACTTAAATGGTTCTAAATCAAAGTTTCTCTCTCTTATTCCACATTAACTCCGCCTTGTATAATCTATACATTTAGTAGGTGTCTTTTCCGTGTTGACTAACTACATCTCTCTGGTACATCAGATCCTCCCTCTCCAATTCTTAACAGTCAGCCACTCCCTGCTCAATATTATAGTAGGTCTCAACTGACAGATTTTGTCTTTGAAATTATTTCTCTATTCGGTTTTAGTAGCAAAGAGTTAGTAGTAATCTTAGATGTAAAGAAAAAATCAAAACCAAAATGTAAAAACAAATCTAATAACACTCTAATTTTAAAACAGAGAAATTAGTTTTCATTTTATGTGGAGTCCAACATAATTTTCTATATAAAATTGCTAAGAGTCTTTTCATCAAAATCATGCACTTGGATTTATTTTCCCTCTACCTTTTAATAGTGAACAATATTCAGAATCTTAAAGACATCTCATCTCACCTTCCTGCAGGGCTACAGCCACTCTCTTCACTTTCCCATTGTTCATTTTTACTTCTTGGAACCGGGGGCTGTAGCATTTCAGCAGCTAGTGGATCAGCATCATTCTCTTCTCGACCAATCCATTCACCAATCACTCGGGGTCTCAGAAGAGAAGAATTAAATGCCACTGTTTCCTGAAGAGGAGAGAAGAATGTGTCGCCTTAGATTACTTACTCTTATTAAGAGGACAACAGGGAAATAATTTTATCTAGAGTTTCAACTGCTTTCTCAAATCAAAATGTTCTTTTTTTCTTTCTGAATTGACTTAAAACTTCAGTTCTCTCCATCTCCGCTAGATGACTTACTCGATGTGAGTTGCGCAGATTCCTGAAGGTCACTGTGATAAAGGATCCAGGAGAGAACTCTCTGATTTGGATTTGGAAGGATGCATGTGTGTTCTTAGGAAGGAGGCGCAGGATGAGCATTTGTGAGAGAAGAAAGAGCGTGATCTAAGGCCCACATAGAGAAAGAGCTTGGTGTCGCAAGGAAATGGTAAACAATTTCTCAGGAGGTAACTGAGGGGTGGGTCAGGAAACAAGGACAAGAGAAACAGGGCTGGAAGGGTGCGTTGCCTCCAACTGTGAAGCATTTTGTACTTTTAGGGATCCAGCAGAGGTTCGAAGCAGGGCAATATTAAGTGCCAGTTATGCTATGCTAATTCAAAAAATGTTAAGATGATCTCTTTTCGTAGACTTGGATATGATGCAGCTCTTAAATTTTTTTTTTTTTTTGAGGAAGATCGGCCGTCAGCTAACATCTGCCAATCCTCCTCTTTTTGCCGAGGAAGACTGGCCCTGGGCTAACATCCATGCCCATCTTCCTCCACTTTATATGGGACGCCGCCTCAGCATGGCTTGACAGCAGTGCGTCGGTGCGCGCCTGGGATCCGAACTGGCGAACCCTGGGCCACCGCAGTGGAGCGCATGCACTTAACCGCTTGTGCCACTGGGCTGGCCCCTTAAAATATTTTAAATATTTAAGTCATTTAATAATTTAAAATGATATGAGAATAGTGAATACATGTAATTGCTATGGATATCTTAGTAAGTGGGAAAAAGGCAGGTTAAAAAGCCATACCTGTTGTATGATCTAATTTTTGTTTAAAAATACACATGGGTGTATATCTATCAATCATGTATTAATCCATTCATGTATTCATTCTCCTCTATTTATTAAGACCTACCGTGCCAGCTACTGTGTGATTTGTTGTGAAAAACAATTGTAAGACCAAAATTTAATAGTTTTATCTGAATAGAGGGACTACAGATAATTTTAATTTCTTCTTTTGGCATTTCTATGTCTTTTCAATATTCTATGATAAATATGTAGTTGCCTTACAACGAGAAAAAAATATATTTTTAAAATATCTTGATCTGAGAGACACAGAGTTTGCTTAAATTGTGTGTAGCTAAATTTTTAGTATTACAAGAGTTTTGAATAATTTCTTAAAAATTTAGAACTGGTCTTCTGAGTCCTTACAATTCTCGAAAATATTATACAAATACATATACAATACAAATACAGTATTACAATATATACAATGTAATATTAATTAATGTATAAATACACACCAAAAGCAACATGTGAAATATGATTAGGACATATTTGATGAACATTTATCCAAGTGATAAGAAGGGACAGAAAGTAGTTGGATATTGATTCCCCAGCCCACATGAAAAGGTAGCAGGTAAATTTTAATAACAATGTCTGCATAACTTATGCAACTAATCTGAATCCTTCTGTATTTATGTTCCTAGAGTCAGGAAATCAAAGCACTATTATGGCTTTCAGCTATGAAATCATGCAATCAAATTAATGTTTTGAAATTACTGGAAAGTCATACTCATTTGCCACAATTTAATATCATTTGAGGTACAAGAATTAAAATTAACAGCAATATTGTTAAATTTGAAACCTATACTTGCTTTTAAAAGCAGATGGAGGCAAACACATGTTTTAGGGAAAAAAAAACATCTATAAACATACAACTTCAGAATCACTTTTGGCCTGTGTGACTTTGAAATGTTACTTATTCTCTGAATTTCATTTTCTCCAACATAAAGTGGAGATGATGGGAATTACAAAACCTACTGTATCAAATGAATTAGTAGAAGCATAGTTAAACCATAGAATTCTGTACACACGCTAGATATAATTAAAGGATGTGGACTGTATTCAAACCACTTCTATATATGTGATATATCTGGGAAAAAATGGTACAGAACTGCAGGAATGGGCGAGTTATGCAAGAACAGATGCTTGGTTGCCAATATGGGCAGAGTAACAGAACAGGGAATTGATGGGGCGGTTTCCATCCCATAAAGTTTTATTTTACAGATAGTATATTAAAAAAGTTGAATAATTAATTCAATGTTATCTCATTTACATAATGGGGCAGAATTGGGCTTAGAGGTTTGTCTTGCTTTAGGCTCAACAGAATTGGGACAAAAGGAAACTGACCATTGTAACAGCAGAAATGAGTGGGTTCAGGCACCGCAAATGGCAAAAGTGAAATAGGATTTAGGGTTGAGTATGATCAAAAAGCTGAGAACTGCAGAGAAGCAGAAATAACTCCTTGGTTGCTTACTGGGAAATTAAATAAAATGCAGATGCCACTGCTGTTGCAAAGCAGAGCACAGAGAGAAGGATAAATGGTTTGATATGCAGCCCACTTAACTCCAGCTGGCCGCAGAGATTTAGTGAGAAATAGCTGACAAGCAAAGCAATACAAACAGGGTCAGAGGAGTCAGAAAGTGAATATTTTACAGGTGGAAAAATGGGACTCTACTATTTTTATTTTGGGGAATGCACAAAGCTCTTTTTATATCTACCCCTTTTAAAAATGTTAAATCTCTTAAAAATCTTGAATATAGTCTATGACTTGTAGTAGATTAAAATAGCAGATTTTTCTTTAGATTATTACTTATATTCGATCAAGCTAAGTAAACATCTTTCCGTAAACCTTTATGAAAGGATTTCAGTGAAGAGAGCAGTTAACACTACATATAACACACCACAGACATCAGTACATGGCAAACGAAATGGTAAAAATGCACATTGAATACAAGTTTTTGAAAATATTTTAAGTACATGGGTAAACAAATCATTTAAAATTTCAGTGCTAAACAATGTAAATCCTAATTATTCCTTAGAAATGTGTAATACATATTCCTTTGCCCTCCTAAGGCTAGAAGTCCCTAGATGTTGAGGTTCTTAAGCAAGTATGCATAAACTTAATAAGAAAAGCATGTCCAGTGAAAAATTCCCCCAGAGGTCACAGATTTGCTTAGTATTTCCTATCAGCAGGAGGCCAACCTATTCTAGTAGTTACCTTAGACAGGCCTACTCTCTCCAACAGCCTGCTTCCAATGGCTAACCCACAATGAGTTCAACTGCTCTGACCAGTGGTTATCAGCACAACATTTGATTATACTCCATGTTATTTGAATATTTTCTCTTCTTAATAAAACACAATGTTCATGGAAGTCGGGGATCATGTCTTAAATTCCTTTGTTTCCTCCACAATAACTAGCACAATTCTGATTTCATAATATAAGAAAAAAAATTTGTGCTGATTGAATTAAAAATAATTCAAAGAATGAAAAACAATGCATATGTGTTGAATTATGAAGTATCTTTATGTCTAACTAAAAATCACATAAATGATTAATGAACAACAGTGAGTAACAAATTTTTAAGCCATTTCAGAAGAAAGTCTACAAGATGATGATTGATTTGGAATAATGAAATATTTCTTATAAACGCTTAAGCTTTTGAGTAAATTATTTTAATCCTGCCAGTTCACAAAAGGAAAAATTTAGAATGCGTTAAGTCAGACATTAAATGTTTGATTTAACACAAAACCACATTAAATATTTGAACTTGTTAATAATCATTCTTAAACTAATCCATATATTGAACTTGAGTTACTTGAGTTACAGATTTAAGAAAGTAATGTAAACAGATAATTAAAAGCTCTTTTCCTACTGGCCCTTCTTCCCTCGCCCCCACCCTGTTTTATTGAGATATGATTAACGTATAACATTGTGTAAGTTTAAGTTGTACAGTGTGATGATTTCATATACATATATAATACGAAATGATTACCACATTAGTTAAGTTAACATATCCATCAGCTCACATAATTACTATTTTGGTTTTTGTGATGAGAACTTTTAAGGTCTACTCTCTTAGCAACCTTCAAGTATACTATATATTATTGTTAACTATAGTCACCATGCTGTGCGTTGGTCCCCAGAAGCTATTCTCTTATAACTGGAAGAAACTATTCATCTTATAACTTGTACCCTTTGACCACTTGCATCCATTTCACCTATGTCCCACACCTGACAACCACCATTCTCTCTCTGTTTCTATGAGTTCGGTTTTTTTAGACTCCACATATAAGTGAGATCATACAGTAATTGTCTTTCTCTGTTTAACTTGTTTCACTTAACATAATGCCCTCAAGGTCCACTTATGCTGTCGCAAATAGTAGGATTTCCTTCTTTTTTATAGCTGAATAACATTCCATTTTGTGTGTGTGTGTGTGTGTGTGTGTGTATCACATTTTCTTTATTGATTCATTCATCGACAGGCACTTAGATTATTTTCATGCCTTGGCTATTGTAAATAAATGCTGCAATGAACATGGAGGTACAGATATCTCTTTGAAATAGTGATTTCATTTCCCTCAAATATATACCCAGAACTGGGATTGCTGGATCATATGGTAGTTTATTTTTAATTTTTTAGGAACCTCCATACTGTTTTCCATAGTGGCTATACCAATTTACATTCCCACTAACAGTGTACAAGAGTTCCCTTTTCTCCACATCCTCACCAGGACTTATTATTTCTTATCTTTTTGATAACAGTCATCCTAACAGGTGTGAGGTGATATCTCATTGTGGTTTTGAATTGCATTTCCCTGATGATTATTGATGCTGAGAACCTTTTCATGTACTTGTTGGCCATTTGTATATCTTTGGAAAAATGTCTATTTAGGTCCTCTGCCCAATTTTTAAAAATCAGATTACCAATGGCCGTCTATATCTGCAGGCTCTGCATCCTTGGTTTCAACCAACCTCGGATCACGTACTATGTTTACAATCCACAGTTGGTTCAATCCGTG